CCCTGGTATCTCTTCTGCCCTGGTATCTCTTCTACTCTGGTATCTCTTCTACCCTGGTATCTCTTCTACCCTGGTGTCTCTTCTACCTGATATCTCTTCTGCCCTGGTATCTCTTCTGCCCTGGTATCTCTTCTACCTGGTATCTCTTCTACTCTGGTATCTCTCCTACTCTGGTATCTCTTCTACCCTGGTATCTCTTCTACCCTGGTGTCTCTTCTACCTGATATCTCTTCTGCCCTGGTATCTCTTCTGCCCTGGTATCTCTTCTACTCTGGTATCTCTTCTGCTCTGGTATCTCTTCTACTCTGGTATCTCTTCTACTCTGGTATCTCTTCTACCTGGTATCTCTTCTGCTCTGGTATCTCTTCTGCTCTGGTATCTCTTCTACCCTGGTATCTCTTCTAGCCTGGTATCTCATCTACTCTAGTATCTCTTCTACTCTAGTATCTCTTCTACTCTAGTATCTCTTCTACTCTGGTACCTCTTTTGTTTCCTCTGGTACCTCTTTTGTTTCCTCTGGTACCTCTTTTGTTTCCTCTGGTACCTCTTTTGTTTCCTCTGGTACCTCTTTTGTTTCCTCTGGTATTTCCTTTTACTCTAGTATCTCTTTCTCGTTAGTATCTCTTCTACTCTTACTTCATTTTACAGGATCCTTACCTTACTCGATAATATCCGGCCGGCTGCAAAGAGTGTCCACCTGCCTTACTCTTTTCCTTTATTTTATGTTCGGGCGCCACTTTGCCAGGACCAGCTCGGCAGAAACACGTTTCTGTGACTGCGGAAGGCTGTGGATTAGAAATTGGTGCAATAACAAACACACAAAGACACACGAGTGTAGAGAAGCGAGGGTCAGGTGGGCACAGCTTCTCTGCTGGAGAAGTTGAGACCAGAACCAGCCTCAGGTTAAAGGGTAGAAAATGGGGGAAGAAGAAAATAAAATGCAAAAAAAAAAACAACAAACCAAAAAACCCCCCCAAAAAACAACAATCTAATAAACACATATAACTTCCTTTAGCCCAATCCGGAGTATTAAATATCAACAACAACAACAAAATACCATTAAGAGCAAACAAGTACTACTTTCGTATGTAGATGCTTCTCAATAGCCCTGCTAAAGGAACTTACAAAAGCGCGTTTCTGTATGTGTCTACAAGCCAATTGTTTCTATCACATGTTTTCAGACTGGCTACTCTCCACACCGGACCTGATGACTTGGAAAACACTCTGGGCACCTGCGTGTGCATGCTCGAAATCCCAAAGAGAGGGAGAAATGGAGAAGGGACTGTGGTGTAACCATTTCCCACAGGGAAGGGGTGCTCTCTCTCGCACTCTCTCTCTGTCTCTCTCCAGCTATTACACATACCGTCTGGCAAAATTAGATGAAAAAAAAAATGTGGCTTCCAGGAAGAGGCAACATCCAAATGAATCCTGACAGGAGTAGGCTTAGGCCGATGTGAAGGGGCATCCAAAGGTGGGCCGGGCAGAGGTGAAGATTCTCATGGGGCGATGTGTTTGTCTGACTCAAGGCGAGGCTCTGTGTGTGTGCACGCATGTTTATGTGTGCACACACATGCATATATATTACACCTGCTGACCCAGGAGAGGTGAAGAGGAAGGAAGAGAAGGGAAGAGAAAAAAAGGAGGAACATACGCAGGAAGATGAGCGAAAGGGAAGGAGAGAAGAGAGAGAGGAGAGAAGTGGGTTCAATGGAAGTGTTAAATGTGGATGCAGTCATCCTACTCTTTGTTCCTGGAAAACTCTAGGGAGAATTCTCGGCAAGGTGTCTCTTCGAGTTTTCCTGTGTCTGGTCCTACACTCAGGTACGGGGAATGAGAGGCATGCTGTCCCTGCCGTCACTACATGTACTACCTGTTGAGAAAGGGGGCGCCACACGGGACTAATGTTGGGCATTGTGAACTCCAGGATGGAAAGAGATCAAGGCGGGCTGAGATAGAAAAGCCTTCCCGAAAGGGTTGAGTATGGAAAGAGCATATCTTGCAAGGGGGCCTGCTGAGAGGCGGGGGCCTGCGCGTCCTGGCGGGTGTACTGTGGGGCTCTGCCATGGCTGACAGTACCCGTGTGTGTTCCAGGACTCGGGATGCTGCTGCTGCAAGCCATTCTGCTGCTGTTAGCGCTGCCCAGTCGTGGCCAGGATGTTCCGGTGGATGAGCCAGGAGTTCCATCTTTACCACCCAAGGGGGCCTGCACAGGTTGGATAGCGGGCATCCCAGGACACCCTGGGCACAATGGGCCCCCAGGGCGTGATGGCAGAGATGGCACCCCTGGTGAGAAGGGGGAGAAAGGAGATCCAGGTAAGAACACGGTTTTTTACTTCCTTCATCCCATATTCCTCCTGGATAAAGGAGGGCTTCCAGGCCTGTGAGGACGTCGGTTATTAACCGAGGTCTAGACACAGCCAAAAGCAAAGACTCTCAATGCGATCCATAAGCATCCTGAAGTGGTTTTTGGTCACCTCCTAGGTGAGAATAGGTGCTACCTCTGTAACCAGCTACCCTGGCACTCTGCTCTGTCTGCATCTCCTTCCCCACCTTCTTTTCCATCCCCACCTTCACCCCTTTTCCTAACATGCACATATTCATACTCTTCCTTCCCACCGAATTCCTGTTCCATGCAGGGGCATTCAGCCACTTACTGCACATGTCCTGAAGCTCACAGTCCTGCTTTCAGCAAACTCTTGGTCTGGGTGAGAAGACAGGTCTCCTGCACAAGACTGTTAGTGGTTACTACAAGAAAGTACTGCAAGTAGGCTGAACTGAAAGTGAAGACATGCTCAGAGGATGTTCACTCAATCGAGACTCGGATTAACCATGAAGTCTTCAAAGAGGAGGCGGGTCTTGAGTTAGGTTTTGAAAGACCAGGAGGCAGCAGAGGAGGCAGCAGAGGAGGCAGCTCTCCTAGATAGCGGGTACAGAAGAGCAGAACTGCAAGTGGTTAGGCCAGTGCTTAAAGGCCGGGAGAGCAGAGAATCCATGATGAAGACCTACAGGAGACAGAGTTGGGCATGAAGTTATGGGAACCTGCTGGGCTGTGGGGATGTAGAGAAGGTGACATCTCTCTCTGCTCTAGAAGTCAAGCAGGTTGTTGGGGTGGGAGGTGCAGAAAGGTAGTACCTTAGGCTGGAACCAATCTAGGCAGGAGTTCTGTTCCCTGTGGTCACAGAGGTCTTTTTGTTCTCTAGGTCTCACTGGTCCTAAGGGTGACACTGGTGAAATCGGAGTGACTGGGGCTGAGGGTCCCCGAGGCTTTCCAGGAAACCCAGGCAGGAAAGGAGAGCCTGGAGAAGGTGCCTATGTACACCGCTCAGCATTTAGTGTGGGGCTGGAGACCCGGGTTACCATCTCCAATGTGCCCATTCGCTTTACCAAAATCTTCTACAATCAGCAAAACCACTACGATAGCACCACTGGCAAATTCCACTGCAACATTCCTGGGCTGTATTACTTCTCCTACCACATCACAGTTTATATGAAGGATGTGAAGGTTAGCCTCTTCAAGAAGGACAAGGCCGTGCTCTTCACCTTTGACCAGTACCAGGACAAGAACGTGGACCAGGCCTCCGGCTCCGTGCTCCTCCATCTGGAAGTCGGTGACCAAGTCTGGCTCCAGGTGTATGGAGAAGGAGAGCACAACGGACTCTATGCCGACAATGTCAACGACTCCACCTTCACAGGCTTCCTCCTCTACCATGACATTGACTGATCCCCGCTAACTCAGAGCTTCCTCCAGGCCAAACAGCCCCCGAGTCAAAGAGTCAATGGGCTTTCAGCGTAGTTAGGACTGGTTTATCACCTAGTTGGTGGGCTCTGACCATCGTTCCTGTGTTTACTCATGCACTCATTCATAAGTACCTTCTTAAATCGTGCGCTGTTTATCATTCCTCGGTCTCATACAGTGGCAATCAAAGGATAATGACTTTGACTGCGAGGCTTCCCGTACACAACAAGAAGGAAGTAGGTGACAATGCTCTTTTCAATTTTTAAAAATGTTATACATTTCATCACTATACATCACTTTGCTTGTAAGTTGAATTTATCCAACGTGAACACACTTCACACCAGTCCAGTGGAGGATACAAAACACATTATCATCCACAGATAATAACCCATTTCTGTGTCCCATAAATATCTTGCCTCTCTATTTTCCTCTTTACTGTCTTTCCTTACACTCTCCCCCTTCTCCCACCCTCTACCCACACTGTCTCCAGAATCTATAACCATTTTCAATTCTTCTATGTCCTCTAATCACTCAGTTTCCATCAAAGAGGGCAGACAGTTATAAGTTAAGTGGAAACATAAAAAGCTTCTCTTTCATAGCCTGGCTTGCTTCACTCAGCAGTAAATCTTCCATATTCTTCCACTTTCTGTCAAAAGCCAGAGTCTTGTTGTTTTTTATGGCTGAGTAGTATTCCACAGAGTATATGTGCCACACTTTTCCAATCCATTCATCTGGACACTTGGGTCGGTTCTACATCTTAGCAATTAAGAATAATGCTGCAATAAACATAGATGTTCAAACACTTTTCTGACTGAGCATTCTCCCATCCTTTGGGCAGATACCCAGGAGTGGAATTGTTGGAGCAAATGGTATTTCTATGTGTAGATCTTTGGGGAACCTCCATATTGTTCTCCACAGTGACTGGATCAATTTACATTCCCACCAGCAGTGTAGGAGAGTTCCCCTTTCACCACACCCCGCCAGCACTTACCTATTTTTTCATCTTCGCCATTCTGACTAGGGTTAAGTGGTATCTCATTGCGGTTTTGATTTGCATCTCCCTTATGATGAGAGATGTTGAGCTTTTTTTTTTTCATATGCTTTTTGGCTGTTTGTATGTATCCCTTAGAGAGTTGTTTACTCAGCTCCTTGTCCCATCTTTTTATTGGGTTAATCTTTTTTTTTTTTTTCAGATAAGCCTCTTGAGAACTCAAACCCAGGGCTGTGGACTTTTCCCTCCAGACTGTGCCCTGTTTTACAAGCCCATGTCCCGTTCGGAGTGTGGGTAGGCATCTGTTGCTCACCCCACCCGAGACCCTCTGAATTTGCCTTTGTCGTGATATGAGGCAGGACTTCCCCAGCAGAGCTCCCTTGGTGGAGATGGTTCTGCCACTAGGTCCCATCTCAGCTGAGCTATTTAATGATTCCTGTGCTGCTCTGTACTTTCCCGTCTCTGCGTTTCTTCTCACCATGTTTCCTTGGGCTGGGGAAGCCACTTGCATCTCTACATGCTCAACTCTTAACTGTTCCTCAAGGCTACCTGTCTTACCTTTCGCCAAGGATGAGAGATATCCTTCTACCCAGCTAGGAGCAACTCCTCAGAAAGGACTGTGCTTCCTTCACCTCTGACTGCCTCACAGGCTCTTAATAAATGCCTTGTGAAGACCAATCTCTTGAATCCCGAATCTACCCAGAATGAATTCCATTCCAGTCTCTCCTATCGTACTTAAGCTGTGAAATATTGGTTTCCAGGACCAGTGGTTGGTGTAATGGCTGTCGCTGGACTTCCATAGAGTCAACTGTGGTTTGAGTCCCAGGCCTGGTGGCTTAAACTCACGTCTGGCACAAGGGCATCTGTGTCCAAGATCCCTTGAGGAGAAGGGATTGCGGCTTTGTCATCCTTTTTTGGGGGTAATTTCTCTCTTTCTGTTTCTTTCTTGCTCTCTGTCTTTCTAGCGAACACACATGCCTTATAGCAAAAACCTCATACAAAATTTAAAAAATAAATATTGATTTCCTTGACCCCAAATTTTTTTTTTGCTGAGAATTTTTCCTCCAGGCTTATTTCTAGTGGCTAGAGATAGCTCTGTGTCTCTTTCTCTCTATTTCTGTGTCTCTGTGTCTCACTGTGACTCCCTGAGACTTCTAATTTTTCTTTCATTTTATTTTTTATAGGTAAAGTATTCTCTGAACTCTCAAGCCTCTCCTCTATTATCTTAATTGGTACCTTTCCTCGCTTCATTTATGAAAGACAGCAGCGAAGTCAGGCCTATGCTGACATGGATACCGTACTTCAGCTGTGAAATACTGGTTTTGGGGACCAGCAGTTGGAGTAATGGCTATGTCTCTGGACTCCTATGGAGCAGACCACAGTTCAAGTCCCAGGCCTGGTGGCTGTAACTCATGCCTGGTCCCTCAGTGGAAGGGCCCCATTGCCAAGCTTGAACCACCTTTAACTCACCCTCAGCTGCTCTCCTTTCCTTCTCTCACTCTGCTCCTGCTCTTCTACTTCCCACGGTTGTTTCCCCAAGTAACTGGACTTAAGTCCTTGGCCTGGAATCTGAGGAGCCAGCCTGGGACACTTTGAGTGAGGAATTTCTAGTTTTACCTCTGCTCTGTCCTGAATGTATCTTGTTAAACATACGCCTTGCAATTTTTTTTAAGTATCCCCACTTTTGTGTGAAAGTACTCTAGATTACGAATTGCTGTGATTATCATGATTGGCTTATTATTTTGAAATTTTTTCTATCATTTTTGTATAAGGAAGAAAGCATTCTTTTCTTTGTTTGGAGAGGTTTTTGCTATAGGGCATGTGCGCTCGCCAGACAGACAGAGAGAGACAGAGAGATAGAAAGCGAGAAATCACCCCCCAGGGGGATGGCCACGCCGCAATCCCTTCTCCTCCATTCTCCTCTCGGGATCTTGGGCATGCACACACACGAACCCAGCGTGCGTTTAAGCCACCGGGTCCGGGACTCGAACCGCGGTTGGCCACACGGGAGTCCAGCGACATAGCCATTACGCTAACTGCTGGTCCCAAAAGCACTCTTTTTTAAGTGGGATATGTACACCTGTCATGTTTACTTTCAGGGAATCAGAAGGAGATTCAGGACTTTGCCGAGAGGCCAGTGGCAATGTATGTTTTCTTGATGGAGAAACTGGAAAATTTGACAGCAAGCCAGAAATCAAATTCTGGCCACCTTGTTTGAATAGCCCCTTCCCTCTCCAGTTTCTGTGGAAAAGTAAAGAAAATCATTAAGATTTTCATCCTTAATATCCACTTGTGTTCAGTACATTGGATCTAGTCAAGCGTGAAGAGGAAGATGCAGGAAGGGAAGATCTTGCTTTCCAAAGACACTCTTATATAAAAGGGAAACGATTTTGTTTATTCTGAAAGCAAAGGGCACTATGTAAGTGAAAAAAGCTCTGCATACCGTAAACTGATTTTTAAACCATTTATTAAAGTGTAGCATGTCCACAGTGCACAAGTCCTAAGTGTGCAGATGGCTGACTTTAAAACACCACCGATGCTTCTGGCACCCCAGGGCCCCCTTTGGCTTCCTCACCCTCCCAAGGATAGCCCCTATTCTGACCTTTCCTCAACTTTGCATGTGCATAAACAGAACCTACAGCACATACTCTTACATGTCCGTCTTTAATCCAATGGTGAGATTCAGCCATATTTCATATAATAGATGATTCGTGCTCATCGCTGTGTTACAGTATTCTATGGGGCGAATAAATCATAGTCTTATCTGTTCACTATTAATGGACATATGGGTGGTTTACAGGTTTGGGTTTTTTTTTTTTTTTTTTAAGGTTTTCGCCATAGGGCTTGTGCGCTGGTCAGAGAGAAACAGACAGTGAAAGGGAAACTGAGAAATCCCCAAAGGGTGATGGCCACACTGCAGTCCCTTCTCCTCTGTTTTTCTCCTGGGACTTTGGCCACGTGCACACACAACACTTGGCATCAGTCTTAAGTCACCCTGCAGGTCTGGGACTCAAACCAGTGTTGGGCATGTGTGAGTCCAGTGCCTTAACCACTATGCCACCTGCTGGTCCCTGGGTTTGGGTTTTTAAGAATCGTACTACCATAGGCATTCGAGCGCAGCACCGTCCAATAGGACTTCTGATGTAATGGAAATAAATCGGTGCTGTCTGATCGGTAACCGCAGCCAGATGTTGTCTGTCAAACATTTAAAATCTATGATCGAGGAACTGAATTGGTATTTTAAATATTTTAGATATAAATAACCATGTATGGCTAGTAGCCACTAATTGGTCAGGACGATTCTAACCCGTGCCTTTAAATGAACACTATATGCACCTCGGTGGGGTGAAGATTTAGGAGTGGAGTTGCTGAGCCATTAAGCATGTGCACTCGAGCACTAGAAGTCACTCAGTGACGGCCGGCCCCATAGTGCAGTGGCTTCGCACTGTGCCTAGGGAGCCAGGTCCCGCATGGCGAGCCTTGGTTCAAATTCTGACCTCTGTGGCTTGGAAAACACACTGGGCACATGTGTGTGCCCCAAATCCTGGCAGGAAGGAGAAAATGGAGAAAACGGACTGCGGTGGGCCAGCACCCTGTGGGGAATGCTTTCTCTTCTCAGTCTCCAGTGAACGCGCATGCCCTCTGGCAATTAAGCAATAAAAGCCACTCAGTGAGTTTTATTCTCTTATCTTCCTCTCCTGTATGGATCTCTATAGGAACTATGCAGAAAAAAACATAGAACCGTCTAGCTTGATCATTTTTTCCCCATAGGAACTGAGACTGAATTTTGCTTTTATAGACTTGCCTGGACATTCTAGACTTGCGGGCCTCACAGGAAGTTGTAGTAACGAGATTGTGACCGCTCCTTTGTGAACCAGTTTCCTCTGCGGTATTCTGTGAGAAGGAACTCTTCCCCATGCCAGTGGATCTTGAACCACAGGTTAAGATTATCAGATATTTTACATTTGTCTAGAGGATGGGCAAAGTGGTGCGAAGGTGCCGACATGAAACCTGAAATACTTGCAGATCCATCACACTCCTCTTCTTCCCAGTATGGCGTAGGCTGGGTCTCCCTCTGCTGCTGGTGACCAGGACCCAAGGTCCTCCTGGGGTATTGCTGAGACAGTGCAGCTCTATGGCAGTCCTCCTTCTTCAACTACTGAAATAATATCTTCAGAGCCCAGGCAGGTTCTTGACAGGGCTCCACGTTAGCCCTGCTCTTCAGCTCTGGGGAAAGGCTTCGGAAAGCAAATACTGCCGGCACCCAGAAATGCAGCCGGACAGCCTGCAAGGTAAACATGAGCTTTGCTCTCTTTTTTCCCTTAATCTCA